TGCTTAGCCTTTTTGTGTGTTTTACGTACGGTTTACTCGCTTTAGTCTATTAGAGCTGCTAATTAGAGCTGTTAGCTAGTATATTATAATCTTAATTATCTTAACATTACTATCTTAATAAATTATATTTTATTTTAATCTTAATATTTTTTTTTATAAAGTTTATTAAAAAGTAAAAAGTTATAATAACTTAGTATAGTTATAATTCTAATATAGTTATTTATATATACTATAGTATATATACTAAATTTAAAAATTTTAGTATTTTATAAGTAAAATAGCTACTTAGTAATAAGTATAATAAAATAAATTTTTTATATAGTAAAAAGCTTTATCTAATATATATAAAAATAAATACTAGCTTTAAAACTTTATATATAATATTAATTTAGCGTATAGTATTTATAAAAACTATAATAATACTAATTTATATTAGTATAAATTTTATTTATAATCTTTATTATACTTAGTATATTAAAAAGTATAATATAGTAACTAAGCTTAATAATACTTAGAAGCTTCTACTATATATATAAAATAAAGTATATATAAAAATATAGCTTATAAAAAAGTAACTTTATAAGTATATTTATACTATACTTTTAAAAAATAAATAGCTAATAAAAAAGTAGACTATATAGTCTTTTTAGTATAAATAAAAGAGAAAATTTAAGTACTTTTTATACTTTTCTAGAAAATTAATAAAATTAAAAATCTTATACTAAAAAAGACTTAGTTTATTTTATAGTTAAAGTTATAAAAAAGTAATTAAGTAATTATAGAGAGCTTTAAGTTTAGAGATAATATTTTTACTTTTTATAATAGCTTTATTACGTATTACTAAGGTAGATATTAGAGAGATACAATGTTAGTTCTATTATATTATTCATTATTATTTGTTGGCTAGTACCTAGGGAGCCATAACGATGGATTTTTGAGGGGACGCCATAGTAACGGCTGAAAAGCAGAATGGTTGGGACTGGTAAAGTTTAGGGGGAGCTGGGAGTGATCCGGGTGTCATGGACGCGCTGGAATAATCACAGATAAACAATAGACAACCTTGGAGCTACCATTGTGCTACAGGAATTCCCGAGGTTGAGGACCCAAGCGACTGGTACAGCAGGATGTCAAGGCATCCCTAGCGATCGCGAACGACTGGGTAAGCGAAGGACAGATATGGGGTATCTGGGATGAGAAGGCGTGGCTCGAAATAGGGAGCGCTAAAGGGGTGGAGCCCGCTATACCACATCCCGAGCCCGTTTCGCTGCACGTTGACTGACGTGCAGCATGCACAATGCAGCCCAAGATAACTCACCTTATCGCAAGTCATCTCATCTCCATCACGAACGTCAGACGGCGATGCAACTGTTTCCTCCAACACCATCTGCGCAGTGTTGTGGCCATTGTTCTCATCCGGAAGGTGTTTGCCGCGCCGTCCTTCGTCCCCGTTCCAATTTCCCGCACAGCCCGGTTCTCCGGAAAAGGGGCCACTGTGGCTCGTAACGTTACTGCCCCTAACGGTCATCGCAATGTACACCATTTCACCATGAAACGATTTTGTTTTCAGTTGTCAGACGGGCTTCCAAGCTGATCAAGTCGAGACACAATGCTGAGGTCACGTTGGGCGCGCATGGCAGGAGTCGCGTCCAGCATGCTCAATCGATAACGTTCAAAACAACAACCGCGGGACCCGCTTGCCACCCGCATTCCGAGATGCTCTCAGGCGTTCTAGAAGCGGCCGCTAGCTCATTTACGCAGAATTTGGATGTGAACGCCTGTTCGCATGCTGGCCGATGCGGCATGGGGGCGTGTCATGGTTGCACAACTAGGCACCAGAATAATCCGTATCCCCATCCCGAGGTCCCCAGTTATGTTTCCATCTCTTTACGCATCTTGTTTACTTCTCCCATTTCGCATAGTCTTGACGCGCGCTGTCATCGTGTATTTGTAGTACCTCTTAATCGTAATCGCGCGTTTAGCACTTTGTATTCTATCAGCAGTATAGTCGGCCCGAGTTATACCACCCCAGATCCGAACACGCGATGTTTCCCAGTGTAAAGGATAGAGCACGGCAGCTTTTTGGAGAGGCTGCGGTTCCTGACGCTGCTCCCCCGCCTCCAGTCGCGACGGGAAGGAGAGGCGCGCCACTCAAGGCTTCTGCTGCGACTAAGGCGGCCCCGGAACCAAAGACGCCAGCGAAAACTTCCAGGTCAAAGAAAGATGCGCCAGTGGTCGAAGAAACACCAAAAGCCATAGGCGCATGGCCAAGTCCTTTCGATTCGTTCAAGGCGAGAACTTCGCCACCAGAAAAGCCCACACCGCCAACGCCATCGAAGTCGAAGTCCTCCAAGACAGCTACCGCATCGAAACCCTCCGCGCCGTCAAAAACCAGCACACCTTCAGCCTCAAAGCCCGAGAAGTCTTCAAAGGCCGAAAAGTCAGAAAAGTCGAAATCTGAAAAGGCCGAGAAGTCGTCCAAATCGGAGAAGAAGTCAAGTTCGCGACCGAAAACTCCCCCAACACCCAAAGCCGCCGCGCCACCAAAGAAAGCCCCAGAACCCAAGGTTTCTACCCCATCACGCAAGAAGACCGAATCGAAACCTGCGCCCAAACCTAAAGAACCCTCGCGCCCCAAACTCGATGCTCGCACCTCCTCGTCGCGACCAAAGATGGAGCGAACGTCCTCCTCTTCTTCCCTCGAAGACGACGAATACAGCGATCTACGCGCCGCCTGCCTGCGCGAAGCGTCCAACGTTACGGGACTTAAAGGCAAGAACCTAGCGATATCGTTGCGCCAGCGGTCGTCGGGCGGCTGGTACGCGGCGCTAAAGGATGTCGGTGCGGACAAATATCTGAAGATGTGGATGAATCGGGATAAGACTTTCAAGACACAAGATGAGGCGCTGGAGGCCTATCTGGTGTTTGTTAAGAAGATGAATACCGATATGAAACTCTTTGGACCCATGAGCCCCAAACTTGGGTCTGGGAAGAGCAAGGGCTTTTTCTAAACCTAAGACGAAAGAGAGGAGCTGCACGCGTTGACTTCACTGACCCACGCGACTGAGACGTGTTTTACGAGAACATGTCATCTGTAATATATGTAACACCACCACTACTACGGGATCCGGGACCATTCTTTCCAGCGAGGCGTTCTTTATTTGGATCCAGTTACGAGACCCCGGTTGGCTCGCAACCCTGTTTTAATACGCTGTAACATTATGTACGATATGTAGGACTACGCGCCTTTTTTGGATTTTGGATCTCTGGCGTTAACGGCACACGACGATGGACTGGACGATCTTGCGCGGCGACGTACTGGGCCGGTTGGATTCATTCGGTTCGCTATATACCCCACTCAAGATCTTGCACTTCCTCTATCTCACAGATATGGCTTTGTTCGTTGACCGAACGAACGTATCGCCGTTTACATATCTTTGTAATACATAATACTTCTACCTTGGTATCAGATCAGTTATACCATGCTATTGAACTCAGACGTCCATTCGATCCAAGTCCGGCGGCCAGGCTGATCTCTCTTTCTCTTCTCCATTTCTTCATCCGAGTCGACATAAGGGTAGAGATGACGGACGCCGTCTGCATCTCCGTCACTGACTTTCCATCGCACGTCGATGATTTCTAGGTCGTCTTTTGTGACTGGGTTTGGTGGATCGAAGCCGATGCCGCGGTGTTTCCAGAAGGTTAATGGGACTTGTAGGACGTCGTCTGTATTTGCGCCATCGTTCGCGAATTCCGAAGAGGTATACAACATGATAGATTCGTCGTCGAACTCTATGTCACTGTTGATGTACAATGGTAACTCAATCCCTCCCTCGCGGAGAGGCGCGATATGGTCAATGGTATCGTAGTCTTGGACAGCGGGGAAGTCGTATTGGAGAGCTAGACGGTAGTCGGCGCAGACTTGGTCCATGGTATGTTCCTTGGCTGCTTCGACTTTCGCTTTCGCAGCTGCGTACCCCCGCAGTTTGGAACAGTCGAAGTGGACGTAGTCGTTGCGGTCCTCGCGTTGGTGCTCGTGCCAGAATCCGAATAGGTGGCCTAGTTCGTGGGCGACGGTTGTGATCCAGTAATCTGGCGGGTATTTTTGCTTGAAGGCGAGACCGAGATGGATGCCGTGTCGCCCTTGCTCGTCGCTCCATTCTTTTGGTATATATCCCGTGACTGAAGAAGCTTGAGTCTCAGTATCTTTGGACTCCGCGATAACGGCAATGTCGTTTTTGACGTGCTTGTTCCAGACCCAAGGGTCGTCATCCTTTTCGCGTTTGTTGTAGCAGTATGGCCACACACCTTCCTTGACTCTGTACTCCCTGAACTGAAGTATGTGGCCGCTTGGGCAACCGGGTTCCCCAATCTTGTCCACCCAGAGTTTCCAGGCTGCGTCGATATCGTCCTTGAAGTTATTGCGGGCGCTCTCGTCTTCGAAACAGTATCGGACCAGTCCGTCGGGCCACACTGTACGAGGTTGTCCGGTCTAGCTGAACGGTCAGTTGGACGTCATGCGTTGGAGCGTAGGGATGAGCATACCATAGTTACGATCTCAGTCCATCTGCGATCTAGTGAAGACTCGTCTCTAGATACGAGTAGGCTAGAGATCATCTGTGATGTTGTGTGGGTATCATTGGCTACATATTTGAAGCTGTTAAGAGGCGGTGGACAAGCGGTGACGAATGCCAGAAAGAGAGAAAGGGTTGGCAACAACATGGTGGTTTCGGTGGAGTTATGCATGGGTCGCTCCTCGAAACCTTGAAAGCCTATTAGAACACGCAATCTGCCCTTTCGAAAAAAAAAGCGCAGACCTTCCATAGTACAAGGAAGTGGCGTTGTTAAGTGAAAGCCTGGATGCTGAGGCGCTGTTCCCAAATATGAGGCATGGCATTCTAGTGAAAAGCGAGCCTGTCCATCCGACGAAGAAGCCACCAGAAATTATAGCTAACAAGTCGACTCCTGCAAAGACAACAACGATGCAAAAAGCAATAGGTAATTGGATACAGCGAGACTCGAACCCGCATCTCCTCACTGCTGTGCTAGACGTTACCGTCTAGTTCAGCGTCACTCTCACTTGCGTAAGAGTGGGCGCCTTTGCCATTAGACCATGTACCCTTTGAATGAAGTTTAACACGAACCATACCTCTTATGTACTGCCAAAAGGTTCTTGATCGCGATATACAGCCCTTGTGGCGCTTCTCGCCGCATTGTTCACGAGTGTTCTTTGTTGTCCCTCGCCAGACATCTCCAAGTCCATCTCCAATAGACCAGACAAAGAACGATTCAAGGAGCAAAAGGTCGTTGGATATGACGAGACTCGAACCCGTATCTCCATGAACCGTCGAGCTCATTAGCCCGACGACACCCTCGAAAGAGTGGGCGCCTTGACCATTAGACTACATACCCTTTGATTGGTGTTCAGTGCCAACAAAACCTCTTACAGCCCTAAGATACTCTCCATCTGATATGTGCAATCGCGGTCGACCCTCCATTAGCGACACATCAGACATGTTTCTTCCTTTTCATCCCACAGATATTCCCAAGTTCATTTCCGATAGAGCAGTCCAAAACCACCACTAACACCACCAGGGAAACCTGTTATCACGACCGCGCCACGCCAGGTGGTCGATAAGATATCCCCCGCAATCAGTACTATCCATGAAGCTCTTGGTCATGACCTCTCGCCAGTCAAAGGACAAGATCCTATCTTCCAAGTCGAGCCCAAAGGTGAGAACTCCCTCGTTACTATCCGCAGGACTAGCAGTGACGCCATCCAAAAGTCTGACAAAGATCGCACGGTCGTGATCTGGCCCTTTCAATTTCGCCAGCACTTCAAACCCCTTGTTTGTCCATCCCCTTTGTAGTTTGTCGACGTAGAGACACATTCGCTGCGTGTCAATGTACTGAATGAATGGCCGGTCGTTACGGCTCATATCGAAGTAAGCAAGGGTTTTGTCTGGGGAATATCCTTTGAAAAGACCGCGACTGCAGGATATGGTCGATTTGTTTTTTCTCTGATATTCGAGGGATACCGTGAGGAAATTTGGGAGGAAGATGGTGCTGGTGTATATTTCGACGGCCGCCTTCAGATTGCTGGAGACGTGACGGCAGGAAATCCAGAGGTGTTCTGGGTCTTCGGAGTATGCGAACACCATGGCCCATATTTCTGTGGGCAAGTCGCTCATCGTAAGTGTTGGGTCTGGTAGTAACTGGATGTGAGAATTGTGGTGATTTTGTTCAAGAGGGAGAGAAGTCTCGGCAAGAGCAAAGTAATTTATGACTCTGGGTTTTTAGTTTTCATGTTGGTGTCATGTGCTCGGTAATGGCTGATAGGCGCGGCGTGGTGCGCGGTCGTAGTACCATGGTTGCAACGGAGTATATCGGGCAGTTGGTACGCTGGCAGAATGACGTTCAACGGAATTGATGCGACAAAAAACAGTCGGCATGGTGGGAACTGTACTGCGGATACATCAAGGCTTCCCTGAATCTTAGCGAGGTCAGAAGCATGATGGGCCATGCCACAGCCAGCGATTACATAAGCAGACCCTTCACTAGCGCGTAAGCTCGCCCGGGCGATCCATTGCTTGTACAACTACTGTTGCGACTGCGAAGATAGACCAACCCTCCTCCAGCCGCTTCCGGATACGAAATTGATCGCGCTCGACGTCCCAACTCTTACGGAGCCTCAAATACCTCCCGTATCTTCCTAATATGCCGGCCGCCGCGCTACCTTCGCACGCGCCGCCGCAGATTCCAGGCTTCCAGATCCCAAATGACGAGGCGCATTCACTCAAGCAATCTGTCGCCGAACTCCTCGAACGCGATAACCCACGCTTTCCCGGCGCGCAACCCGTATCCTTCTCGCGCGAACACGTCACCGAGCTCCAGCGCAATGAATACTACATGTGCGAGAAGACAGACGGCTTGCGCTGCCTGCTCTACTTGCACTGGCAAGAGGGACCGACAGGGGCTTTCGAGCCTGTGACTTTCCTGATCAACAGGAAAAACAACTACTACAACGTCCAGCCTCCATTTCGCATACGTCACTACCAGCACCTGAACGAAGCCGAGCCATTCTTATTCGGAACTCTTCTGGACGGCGAGTTGGTCCATGACCAATATCCAAACGAGCCTGCGCCACGTCTCAACTTTTATGTCTTCGATTGCTTGGCGGTGGATAATACAAATGTGACGCAAAGGACACTGGACAAGCGGTTGGGTCGGCTGCATGAATGGGTCATCAAGCCGTACGAAGCCGGCTTGACCAGGACCTTTGGCAAGAACATTACACCAGACGACCTGAAGCCCTTTGCACTCAAAGGAAAGAAGACCTACCCTGCATACAAGCTCGAGGACATGTTCAGCAGCATCCTCCCCAACCTCCGACACGGCAACGACGGCCTGATCTTCACCTGCGTATCCACACCCTACCAGTTCGGTACCGACAGACACATCCTCAAGTGGAAGCCACCACACGAGAACACCATCGACTTCAAGCTCCGCCTCGGCGACTTCCCGCTCATAGACCCGCAGGACGGCGAGGACGGCCTCATCCCCGACTACGACGCCATACCCACCCCCCTACAACTGCTCGTGCAGCACAACGCGAACCACTACGAGGTCTTCGCCACCCTCTCCGTCACCCCCGCCGAGTGGGAGACGCTCAAATCCCTGAACCAACGCCTCGACGGCCGTATCATAGAATGTTACCGCACAGAAGGTGGACAGTGGAAATACAAGGCTGAGGCGGACGGTACGCCGCGCTGGCGCGACGACAAGAAGGATGCCAATCATATCAGCACTGTTAGGAGCGTGCTGGCTAGTATTGAAGCTCCGGTTACTGAGATGGACCTCTTGGCTAATGCCGAAAATATCAAGCGGGAAACGTATCGTCTGCAGGGCAAGCTGGATCAATACCGCCCGCCTCAGGACGGTGAACGCGAGGCTAAGAAGCGGAAATTCAGCGATGGTCTCAACGGTCACTGAGTGTTTGGGTTTCGACGCGATGAGGACCTTTAGGATGTGCTATCAGCAATGTTTTGCAATGTTTAAGATGTAACTGTATTCGTCAGGGAGTTACGGCGCGTTTACACAGTTCATGATACCCACGCTCAGTTTATATCGGGCGGCAAAAATTAAAGTCTTGTTGTTCACAGTACAGTACTATTTTCTATGGTCTGACTTGAGGCTTTCTGAAAGAGTACTCGATATCATAATGTCTCGCCCCGCTATGTGCATTAACGTTTATCCTTTATCATCTCTTCCCCATAAACACATCCAGCATATGCTTCAGAGACTCATCGCTGCCCTCCTTACCCTCCCTGGCCTCTTTGAAGATCACATACACTGCCCTTTCCATTAGCAACCTATGTGCAGTATCGGGCCTACTGAACAGACGCACAGTTACGGGTCATCCACTCTCTACCCCAGTGCACTCCAGCGCCCCTTGTCACTTCTGATTGCAGCGATCTCTTTCGCCAGTCCTTCAGAACCCTTTGGGGATTGTTGCCGCGATTCGCTGTCAGATATTTGACGAACGTCTTGCCCTCTTCGTCGTCGGGGTATTCGTATCGTATGATGAGCCAGTTGTACTTTTTTGCTTTGCCAATGCTATGGGCGACTTCTGATGAAGATGTAAAGTCTATGCCGAGGGGGCGTACGACTTGGAAGATCGCCGCCATCTTTTGAGGTTCTTGGAGATGCGATATTTCTCTCTTTTGTAGAGTATCTCCTTGCGTATGAGTTGTAGGGAATGCAGGAGATGTGGTTGGCTCGTCGTTTGTGGGTCGCCTCTGGGTCAACGCAGCCGTCATCTCTTGATGAGAAGACGGGGAAGTGATTTCAGTGTTCATAGAAGTGGAGAGTAGTCAATTGGAGGTGGATAGCCAAGTATGTCGTGATAAATATCTGGGTACCTTTTGCGCTGATGGTTAGAAACAGTGCATGCTTCCAAGGTTGGGTACATGTTGGTATCAGTCATTTAGAGTCATGGTGCCATGACTCTTTGGAAGTCAATGCGACCGCTCAAAGAGTCAAGCCATCGTCGAGCGCGAAGGAGAACGAGCAACTAGTGTATTCGTCCAGATAACTACCATCGAGAGCCATCTTCTGGTAACACGGTCTTTGCTCTACTATCCTGTAGCATCTACATTCAGTTCATTCAATGCCCCAGATTACTTCGCAGGCTTTGGATAGTTTGCCTTGTCGCTTGTCCAGCGCTCGATCGCTTCACGCCCGAGCGGATCATATAAAGGAAGCACTGGAGGTTATGTTAGCATATTTCCCATCTCGCGTGAATACTTCCAATGAAACTTACATTCTGTAGTGCACCATCCATCGTCTCCACCCTCTATGTTCTCGTCTTCGTCGTCATCGTCATCATTTTGGAGCACTGCGCTTTTGGTGTCCTCCACAGTATTGAAACGGCTCCCAACATCCCGGATATGGCGTCCGCATCCACGGCCGTTGCCATATTGAAGTCTCTTGAGTTGATCCTCGTTGTCGACAGGAATTAGCATACATGCCCATAGCCTTTCAGGCAGGTATTCCACGATAAGTTTGAATGTGTTTATCAGTTGGTCGCTATTCGTGTAGGCGATCTTGTCGTCTCCAGAGGCGTCACGGTAGGTGATTCTGTAGACATTATGCATTTCGATCGATATCCAAAGTTCGTTCAATCTTGCCATCACTACACAAAGTATTAGTTTGGCGAGTCTTTGTACCATATTGCGTGACATTACTTACATCCAGCAGTAGCCCGTCGCTTCTTGATCAAACCCCATCTTTTATCGATATTTACAAATCCACCGTCAAGCTCTTTGCAGTCCCTAATCTGATCTTTTGGAATAGGATTTTCCATATCGACTTTCCATCCTTTGCAGACTCCTCTCTCTGCCAAATCATCGATGCGGTCATGAAGATAGAAGGAATCTGTATAGCCTACTGCCGAGGTGACTTCATCATTGTCTAAGAAGTAGAGTATCTTGTAGTACAAAGACATTGTTGATGAGTGGGTGAAGAGAATGGAGAGCTCGATGTTGTAAATATAGCGAGCAGTGTTCTTGGGTGCTGTGAAAAGTTGGAGGAAGTGCTCAAGGAACATATGCAGGTAGACACCTGCACAATGACTGCGATGGTGACTCCTAATTTTGGGATGGCGGGTATTACTGCGATGACGAGAATGCTTGTCATAGTTTAAGCTGTGACTAGTAACTGCGATAGAAATATGCGTCAAGGGGTAGTAGTCACAGTGAATTTTGGTGAAATCTATACTCGACAAATAACTTCAATGTCATTTTTCGGTGCAAGCTAACAGTATAGTCTGACTAACATCTACTAACTACCGGCAATCTTAACTCGAGATAGCGCCTCCAGTCGCTGCACTCATGACCACTGTATGCAGCTGAACCACCCATCCCAACAAAATGGCATGAAGCCTCACATCTTCCGTTCTCTTGTTCTTCGCGAATCAACTTCGCAGCCACTTTACATACGGCAAACACTGGACTGTTGTTTAGAATAGCTTCTCTGAAACGTTCTCAACCACTGCAAGAAAAACTTACAGCCATTCGTAGTCCATCCATCGTCAACAACCTTTCCATCCTGGTCTTTTGTCAAGAGACGCATGCATCCTCCGTCACTCTTTTGGTATTTCGTGAGTTCTTTCTCGTTCCCAAAGACTATCGCATCGCATTTACCGAACAGCGAATACGGTGACCGCGGCGACTTCAAGATGAACTCAATACCCTCGGCGATGGAGTCACTACTCGTGTAGCTGGTGGTGAAATCGTTTCGCAAGCCTGGAATGAGTTTGTTACAGTATCCAACCTCGTAAAGTTTGAGGTTATCAAGTTGTGCCATCACTACACACATTAGCGCAGCCAAACATGAGGTGGGTTCTCGTGATTTACGTACACCCAGCAGTAGCCCACCGACCATTACCATCAGACCCCCACTTCCCACGAACAATATTTACGAGACTTCCGTCTTTTAGTTTGCGTTTGTTTCTTTTCTTAGCCGCGTGGTTCGAGATGAATAGAACTTCAACTTTCCATCCTGCAACACCCGGATGTTGAGCGGCTTTGGCGGATTTGGCAACGACTTCTCCCAGGGGTTTGTGATTTGTGAGGCCGACTCCCGTCTTCTCGTTGGGGTTGATGCCTTCCTTTGTAAGACTTTTCGGATAGGTGATTAAGTAGATTTTTGGCATCGTTTTTGTAAGTATCAGTAACCTAAAAAATGAAGTGTGGTGCAGTCAAGCGGTACATAAAGGCTTGGTGATAGTGTCGGTAACTCTTGAGTGCAACGAAGTCTTACACATGCCAGTGACTCTTGAACCACCGTGTCAATATCTGAGTCAAAGAGCAAGAAGTGACAAGGTAAATTTGGTTAGACACACGGTCGGTTGAACTCATTCCACCAAACCCTTCATCGTTACCCACACCTTTTTCATAATTTCCGGTATAAAGGCCGTCGATCTTCCCTGGCTGTTCTTCTCAGACATTACGTACGTATGATACACTAGAATATGTGTTAGCACTACTTTTATGGTACCCTTTTGAACATTGTAAGTGAAACCCACAGCGTTTTGTAATCCACCCTTGGCTGTCAACCTTGCCATCACTGTCCTTGAATGGATATACGCATCCTCCGTCATCGTCTTGCCATTTCTGGATTTCATCCTCATTCTCTGCTAGAATAATGCCATATATCCATTTATCCGAGAACCCTGGCTCGTCTGGCTCTAAAGTAGTATCAAGCGGTCCGAAGACGAGTTTAATCTTGTCAAGAATGTATTTCTTGGCTGTGTAGCCGAACTCGTAAGGGTCCTCGAGATCCGTGTCGGGTATCTTTTCGTATCCTATGAAGTATACTTTGGCGGCGTCCACTCTCGCCATTACTACATACGTCAGTTCATAGAGCCACTCATACGTAGCCTTGCGTGAGTTGACATACAATTGGCAGTGATCCAAACCTCCTCTCCCAATTCTTCCTCCCATCCATCGGGAGGTTTTACGGCCCCGCCATCTTTGAGTTTGTATATTTTGTCAACATCCTCCTCAGTGACCTTGACCATATCCGCAACTTTCCATCCTCGTGGTCGGGGGTGGGCAAACCAGATCATCCGCCTAATTAAATCCCATAGTTCAAAAGAAATCGTGTAGCCAATCGCCGTGCTTTCGTCGGCAATCTCTCCTTTTGCGGGGAACTTGATAGGATAGGTTATCGTGTAGAGTTTCACCATGAGTGGCTTGAGCTCTGTTGTTGTTTTCGCGGACATGATCAGTCTAGGTCGATTCCGGATTCCAATCAGAGGTTGTAGTGAGAGTATGCGAGGAATTATTATAAAAGGTATCCTGGTATCGAAGAGCGAGAGAGAAAGCTTTTGGGCAGTATAACAAGTTGTACAGCTCTACACCATGACTGCAACGATGTTAGCGCAACGTATGAGTGTTTGATGCATTAGTCACATACCAAAATTCCCCATAATAGATACCTGAAGTGATGACTGTTCACTGCAATCAGTCAACATATGCTTTAAGACTCATGATAGTATGACACCGAAGTACTCATATTCCGCACCTCGTCACTCCATTCTTCCCGATGCTTCCTAAAGAACCATTTCAAAGTATCCAACACTGATCTAAATATTAGCCCGACCCCAATAAAAAGTCCAATACCCTCATACATACAGTACTCAGTCGCCCACGCATCTTCCCTCCTATACTCATCGACCAAATTCCTCTCCGTCCTGAAGGCCTCAGGCCCATACACTTCATCAAGATCTATACGAGGCCCACGGATGTCTATCACGCGCCCGTATATTTTTTCCCGGTTCTTGACTTCTTCAATGTTGAAATCACAAGGATCACTCCACCAGCCCCAGCGCTGTAGTTTTCGCGTTGTGCGGGCGAGGGTTTTGCAGTTCGTGAAACCGAGAAACTGTTCATTCAGCTTTACGACGTAGAGTTGCGGCTCGGGCTCGTTGATCGTAGGGAGAGTTTGTTTTGTTGCAGCTGAACCCATTGTCGCAATAGTTTCGAAGGCGATAGTTTTACGGGTTATATTTCTAGACTTTGCTACCAGTAAAGAAGATAGACTGCGTGAAGATGGTAGGTTCAATAGATGAGTGCAGCGATTTGTGGTGAAGACGGCATAACTGCGTTAGCCGCGCTGTGACTGCCACTATGAGTCTTGTAGTGGACAAAGCTTCGACCTCGTGATACCTGATGACACGCATTTCTTAAGATGGTACACAGTCACCAAAGCGCACACAGGTTATACGCCCTAAGGCCTTGACTTGGTGAAGAAGAGTGTGTGGGCGCGAAGATAATCGAACATGTGCAGTAGAGTTGACGACTTCGATCAACGTCTAAGTCAAAGAGCGAGAAATGGCATAGTAGAGATGATCAGGTTCATGTAGAGAACCACTCTCAGCGTCATCCTCCAGCTTCTCCTTCTCCTCCCTCTTTCCCTCACTTTCTTCCTTCGCTTTCGATACTGCATCTGCTGGTCCATCTTTGGATGACCGGTGCGCCTTTTTAATCTCTTCAAGCACTGCAAATAAGTTTAGCACACCTGTCCGAAGCAGTTCTTCCTGAACAAACTCACGCCTGCCAGACCCCCACACGTCTCCCTCAGGCCATTCAAACTCAGGGAATTCTTTCTTGAGATCCCGAGCCGCCCCGTCGCGACGTTGGTACGAGTACAACATACGTTCACCTTTAACCTCAATGGGGTCCCACTTGTGATCGTCCTTGCGTTTGTTCTTGTCTTTGTAGAATTCTGGGAAATGCTTTTCGTGAAGCTCTCCCAGCTTCTCGGAGTTTGTATAGCCGGCTATTATTTTCCCCTCCCAGTGATGTTGTAGAGGCCAGACTGTCTGCGTTTCTGCAACTTCTTGCGCTTCTGCAACTTCCTGCGCTTCGGCAACTTCCTGCGCTTCGGCAACTTCCTGCGTTTCTGCAGCAGGCAGATTCTTATTGCTTTCGGGAGGATCCATTGGAGGTCTGAGTGACTTGCAGTAGTGGGATAGAATGTTTTGAAGATAGAGAGGAAAGGTTTAGGCGTGTATGTGATTAAATACTACCAAGTGACTGTAACGACGTCACGATAAAGCATGAGCCAGCGGGATAGTCATATGCGTTCCTTGCTCAGGATGTTGTACGTGCGCGAGCAAGAGTCACGATACCGTTGATTGACTCACTTTCTGGGTGGTACATGACAACACACATTGACTGTCATAACACAAAGACGACAATACGATGGTAGACTAAAAGAGGCCTCGATTCTATCTAGCTCGCAGGCTCGAGCCCGGTCCCGCACCTCCATCCACCATTGCAGTCCACGAAGACAGAAGATCGGTGTGCACATATTCCCAAATCCAAATCATCATGCCATTGTAACGGTACTTTTGCGGCGTCACCAGTCGCATTTATCATTCCAACCAGACTCTCATATGCGCATTCATATCGATACAGTGATCATCCGATCGATCGACAAGAGCCCACAAAGGTAAGCTCCTCTTCATTTCGAAACGACATACAAGCTCCAAAAGAGTACGCCCCGAAACACCCAAGCAAGGTGGCTAAGCGAGTGACGAGACAGGACGATCGTCGGCCAACAGATAGCCCATGTGCCGATTGAGTGAAGAAAAGATATGAAAATCGTAAGAGTCCGAGGACAGCAAAGGAGAAGACATGGCAAGTATGGTGTTATGCCGCTTTGCAAAAAAATGCTCGCTAGCAGATGCGTAGTAGGTGAAGATCCGAATCATATACAGGAAGATAGTGCTGCTTTTCCTGGCAACACAGTAAATTCTAAGAGGAGATGAGAATCTAAACCCTCGGGCGAGGCGATTTTTATCTCTGAAGAGATGTTAACGGCGGACGCTGTTAGCAGGGGACGCATTTCTGCTTACTCTGCCACGTCGCTGGTTGCCTCCAGCCGCCTGTTGGTGCTGGGGTGGCATGTACATGCCGTAAGGAGGGTACATGCCGGGCATGCCCTGACCGGCAAGGTTGGCGGGCTGCATCATCGGTGATCCGTTGAAGCTGCCGGGGCCTGCAACAGGCGACGCGTTGCGATAGGCATCCATGCCCGGAACGGGGCCTTGGAAGCCGTTCATCTGAGGGTAGAACTGACCCTGTCGGGCCAGGAGCTGCTGGTACTGCATCTGCTGCTGGTTGTTCATGGCCTGCATGTTTGGCATGTACATGGGACCACCACCCATTGGGTATTGCTCGAAGCCATTGGAGTCCATGCTTGCTGTGCGCTGGAGTGCGACAGGGTCGAAGCCAGCTGCCGCTCCCTGATAGAATTGCCCAGGGTTTGGCGGTCCAGACGCAATGCTGTCCTTCGACGCTGGGCGGGTTGCGGAGTGCTCACGATGACCAGGTCCGCCACGAGTGGAAAGACCTACCTCATCCATGAGTCGCTTGTAGCCCTGTTGGGGCTGCGCCTTGATGCGAAGAAGAACGTTGCGAACGTTTGTTACTACATCCGCACGGATCTGCTCATCGAAGAATGGAGTGGTGAGTACCTTGAAGATCAAGGTGGCACCGCAGTTCTGGTCGGCCAAGATGCTTTCCAATACCTGGTCGTTGGGAGAAAAGAAGAGTGCCTGTAGGATAGTGTCACGAGCTTCTGGCTCGTTGCGCTGGTTGATGATCTTCAGGACGGTGAGGTATGCAACCTTGTGTGTGCAGAGGTGGACAATGTGCGGGACTAGGCGGGGAGCCAAGACTGTACGCCTCCTTGGGAAGGTGCAGGTATCGAGGAACCAGGTCAGGAGCAAGGCACCGTTCGCGTTGGTTGCGAGCTGCACGCTGTGAAGAGCGATTGCAGCAGCTACCATGCGCTGCTGGTCCTTGGTGGCATAGTGACTCTCCAAGCAAGCTCGCATGGCACGGGCACCAAATCGACCTTGGGCGAGATCCCAGAGTCTACCCAGCATGACCTCAAAGATGAAGTCGTTGAACTTCTGGTACTTGAGGCAGCCTTGCATAACGTAGTTACCGAATTGGTCGAGGAAGAGAGCCATAGCATAAGGTTGGACAGCATCCACGACCATCTTCTGCATAGTCTCCGACTTGGACACATCGATGATCTTCTGCGCAGCCCATGTTCCGTTCTTGTGCACACCAATCTTGGCTAGGTGGGGTGCGATCTCGCGAAGCATGGCTTCCTTGGTAGGCTCCTCGCAGAACTCGAACAGCTTCTGCACGACTGTGTTTCCAAGATAGTCAGAAGACAGCTCAGCAATTTCTGGGAGCATGGCCATGGCGATGTTCTCAATGTCCTCCTTGGAGCAGGATCCGTTGTCGATGCGCTTGCGGATCTCTCGTAGTCTAGGAGCGTCGTGAATGCGAGTGTGGCTCGGCTCTTCGACAGATGGGATCTCGTCGACGTAGTTGTTGAACTGGACAGCCTTCTCAACCTTGGTAGTGATCCTTGACTGCTCGTCGTCGGTGGCGCCCAGCTCCTTCACAATCTGGATGATGTCGGTGCGGATGTCGCTGAGCTCTGGGGTGGTCAAAGGCACATTCGCGGGAATGTTGGCCACCTTGGTAGCGGCGGCAGAGCCAGCTGTGCCCTCAGCCTGAGCCTTTGACAACGGGTCAGGACTCGGTGAAGGGAACAGACCATTGTGGCCAGGCGTAGCTGCTGCGCTTGGAATCTTAGCGTATCCAATGCGGACGGGGCCAGCACCAGGGAAGATCTCCTTTCCGTTCAAAGTTGACTTTGCCTGGACTGCACTCTCAAGATTCTCGTAGTTGACGAAACCGCAGTTCTTGTGTGTGAGGACGCGGGTAGACTCAATTCCACCGTACTGAGCGAAGATGACCTGGAGCGACGAAACGGTGGTCGAAGATGGAATGTTGCCAAGCCACAGCGAGCGAGTGGGTCCTTCCAGAGTGCCATCGTCGCCGAGGTTTGAGCCAGGCAAGTGGAGCTTCTTGACAGCCTCGGTAAGATTGTACTCTGCATCCTCAGTCAAGTCACCAGTTCCCATGCCGTTGTCAAATCGGCCCATAGCGGGCAAGTAGGGCCGCATCATGCCCCGCGAAGGAGCATCTAGCACGCCGGCGGTGCGAGCACGTGGACGCGCGTTGGAGGCGAGGTTCGCAAAGGCCTGGACTTCGAGGTTGTGTTGACGAACAGCTTCGTGAATGAGAAGGGCATTGGCTTCGGCAGGAGTGATGGTGCCGCTGTATGCGCCATATTGATCCTCCTCCTCTTCGGCGTACTTCTCCTTGGCATTGACAGAGTAGGAACGGAAGCGGTTTGCACCACCGGAGTTCTGGTTGTTCGCGTTCCTCTGGCTCTCAAGGAGGAGCTCGATGTCGGACGGAGCCAGGGTTGCTCGTGCAGGCTGCGGGGTGTCGACTAGACCAAGGTAGTCCAGGGTCTTGACATCGGTGTCGGCGAGCGAATCGCGGGAGAAGGAAGACCTTGGCGAACCTTGTCCGTTTGACGGCACCGAGGCAATGCTCTGGAGTGTGCTGCTACGGTCACGCTGGTTGGACCAGCCGCCCGAGAAGATGGAGTTGCCGAACGGCGAGTTGGAGGGAGGGAGGTAGCCACCCGGTCGCTGAGGCATTGAGCCAGCACGCAGACGTGAGAGCAGTGCAGACTTGGCCGCAGCGTTTGTAGACCCAAGCGCGTTGAAGCTTGAGTTGTCGGTCGGTGTGCCTGGCCCAGGCTTGAAGGGGCTCGTCGAGGGCGTTGGTCGGGAGCTCTTGGGAAGCAGCGAGGAGCCAGACATGAGGCCGGGAGGGGCAGCGGAGGGGGAGAAGCGCGAGGGCAGGGTGCCAGCGCGGGCACGGCGGTTGGGAGCGGGTGCAGCTGACATGGTGTCTGGCACGGCGTTGTTGAAGTCGGGGAAGCTCAAGTTCTCGCTGTTGGGGGACTCGGGGATGGTCTCGCGCAGCGGCGTGGAATTCCCGCTGGTAGGAGGTCCCCACATTTGCGGAGTTAAGCCCTCCTGTGCCTGAATCTCGCGTGCACTGTCAGGGTGTTAGCAC